CATTTGCTGGTTTCTGGAGGCACGATATTAGAAAAACGGACGGCTCACATTGAAAAGAAGCCTATGCATTGGACGGCGTTTGGGGAGCATCAAGGGACGGGAAACCATACGAATTGGATTTGAAACGTATAAGACGCATTACTTTTGTAAATAGAATAGACGCAGCAATGTCCTGCGTGAAGGATCACCCGAAGCGAATGGATCGGAAAGCAGTTTATCCAACCGAGTTGATCCCTTTGGATTGTGACTTCTCGTCGTCGCTTCGAGGAGCGGGCAGCCCGGACGGAGGAATCAGAGTGGGTTTGGGACGGCTAGGCAACTAGAATGACTTTACCGTCCGAACAACACATGAGGCGTTGTGGCAGAGTGGTCTAATGCGCAAGACTAGAAATCTTGTTCCTTCGGGAGCGTCTGTTCGAATCAGGCCAACGTCGATATCTTTTGCTTTTTGGTCTATTTTCCCATAGCCTCCTACAAATCTCAATCGGTGGCACTCATTGTTCATTTTGCACTTTATTTCATTGACTCATTTAGATTGGGTATGGCGTAGAAGCCGTTTTTGTTCTGTAAATGCCGTTCAACTGAGTGACATGGAGGTACAGGTTTACAAGCCTCAATTCCCTCAGACATTGAACCACCAGCCCGCCACACCATCAACATTCTGCAACCACCTCGAAAGTCTACTCCGCTTCGTGTTCTTGGCCTTTGGTTGGGTTTGGCATAGCACAACAGCCGTGCCATGTCCCCGTAAGCAATGAAGACATGCTACCTATTGTCGAACCCCAACCTTTGGGGAACGACTTGTTGAAGCCTGACATCACATCTATGCGACACTCTGAGTTGCTGAATTCGCTGTTGTTTTAATTAACTAAGCTAGTCTAGTCTGCTGTGGCCTATTTGTGGCTCTATAGCAAAAAGGCGTAACCGGCGGACGGTGGCCCCCATGTCACCGTTCTCTACAAAAGCTCCGTTTTATCTCTTTAAGCAACACCCCATCTCTTCGCTGTATGCATTGGCACTTCCTCGCGCCCTCAACCGCAGCTGATATATACCTTTTTCTCCTTGCCGTCCTGAGTAACTTTCTCCAGATACCGAGTTAGGCCATCGCGTAGAGTGGTCCCTAACTGGCAGGACGTCCCAGGCCCGGGGTAAAATGCTGAAATAGAAATGCTTTTGGTACAAACAAACAAATACAGTAAAAGTGACGAGATACGATGGGGTTGGTTCAGCAAAGCAACTGAAGTTCTGGAAAGAACGCGATCAGAACTCCCAGTCATCATCCTCAACAGACTTGATGGCCCAGCTGAACTTTTCGCGCAGCGTCTTGGAGAAGAACTTCTCAATAGGAACGTCAAACTTCTTGGCAAAGACAACCGTAAGGCGCGGATCAATGTAGTTCTGGAATATGTTAGCTGTGAAATATTTTCAGCCAAGCGAATAACTTACGATCTTAGAGGTGCTCAAGGCAACCTCCTTGTTGCCATCACGATCAGCAGCCTGAAGCTCCAAAGTCTTCACTCTGTCATCAATCTTCTTGGCCTGCTCAACAAGCTTCTCAACCGTAGGGCCTCGGCCTTCCGGCTCGACCTTCTTGGACTTGTTCTCTTTCTTGAACTTGGCGGCGAGCTCGTCCGCAGCCTTAAGGCGCTCCTTACGCTCCTTATCGGGGAACGGCTTCTCGCCATCGGCCAGGCGTTTCTCGTTATCCTTTTGGAATTTCTTCTCAATCTTGGTGCGCTGCTCTTCCACCAAGAACTTTTGGTGCTCGAGAATCCACTCATCGGTCAACTCTTCGGGGCGAGCAAAGTATTCGGCACCCTTCTTCTTCTTCACCTTGTTGTCGATCTGAAGCATCATCTGCTTCAGGCGCCATTGCTGATACCGGAGGCCCTTGATGCGGTCGCCGAGTTTCTCCATTTGTGCCTCGTGGGCAGCACCGACAGTGCGCTTGTGGTTACAAAGAATGGCTACCTCACGGTTGCAGTCGTTGTACAGCTTCACCTTCTCCGCAATCGTCAGGTTCTTGTGATCGACAAGCTTCTGAAGGAGAGTGGACATGGTGAAGGACGCGTTGTAGGTACGGAACACCTTTGCTGTCAGGCCCGGCATGTAGTTCTTGAGATGGTTGTTCAGCTGCGTAGTGGTCAGGCGGTCGAAAATGTCGTCACCGTCAGTCTTGGGCGACTTCTTGAAGAGCTTCAAGTTCTTGAAGACCTGCTTCTCAACAGTGACCTCATCGTAGAATCGAATACTGTCCTTTCCGAGGAAGTCGAAGATGACGGTATTGGGCTCGCGTAGGGTGATATGCTCATACTTGAGGGAGCAGCAGCCGACGGTCTCGGCTTCGTTCTCAGAGTCCTTCTCGTTGCCAGCTCTGAGAGCAAACTTGTCAATCAGGTACACGGCCGTGGCTCTTTGTCGGTCCGCCATGACCTCGCTCTTGAGATCCTTCGTGTAATCCCTTCGAATCTTGTCGATGTGCTTCTTGAGTTCTCTTGCCTTTTCAAACTTCTTCATGTCGCTCTGACCCTTGATTGCACTGGCAGCGCCAAGCATCACGTACTTGTATGCACCGTTGATGTTCTCCTGCCACATAGCCAGCCAAGTAGCCTTGTTGTCGTGAACAACCGCCTTCCACTTGTGACCCTTGGGCGGTGTCGGAACCTTGGCGTCCTTGCCAATGTTGATGGTGATTTGCTCAGGATACACTCGCTTCTTGAGCTTTCCAGTCTTTGGGTGCTCGCCACGGCCGCGGAATAGACTTGGAGGTTCAACGCGGAAGTTGCCAACCTTTTCCTTGCGGCCATCCCACTTGCAGTACATGAAGGGAGCTTCCGTCTCATCCTTCTCAGCCTTGATTGCCTTCTTCTCTGCAGCTGTGCGATTCTTTCTGATGGCGCTCTGTTGCTCGTAGTAATTGAAGATGGGCTCGAAGTCCATCTTCATGAAGTCCTTGATGTCGACCTTGTTGCCTTGCTTGTCGGTTGCTTGGCCTGACTCCTTGAGAACGGCCTTGAAATCGTCGAAGAAGTTCTTCTGGAAGACGGGATTGTCGACATTGTGCTTAGAGTTAAGCATCGCTCCGAAGAAACCGGCAACTTCTTCGGCCTCGACGGGCAGGTTGACCGGCTTGCCATCGTAGAGCAGTCTGACGTTCTTGGGGAGGGGCTGGTACTCGGGTGGGAACATGACGCCGTTGTGCTCCAAGGTCTTCCACTTGACACTGTCATCCTCCTTCTTAGGGGCGTTCCACCATTCGTACTCTTCCTCCTCCTCGTCTTCAGGAGCCTCGCTTTCCGCCTTGGCCTTTGCTCCCTTTTTGGCTGGTGCTGCGGCAGCCTTGCCCTTGGCTGCCGTAGCCTTGGCCGGGGTGGCCTTCTTCGCTGCAGCCTTTCTTGCGATAGGCATATCGGAGTCGGATTCGGATTTAACCCCATTTGACTTTCTGGCGCCGTTCGATTGGCGCTTCTTTGCTCCTGACCTGGCCAAAGGCACATCGTCGTCGGAGGACTCTTCCTTTTTCGCCTTCTTCGGGGTTGCCTTCTTTGCCTTGGCCTCGCTGGCACGAATGTTGCGAGCCTCCTTGGCGGCTGCCTTCTCAATGTCCGCCTTCTTTTGCGCGAGCCTGGCGCCCAATGGCTGATCATCATCGGAGGATTCGTCGGGCAAAGCTGTCTCCCGGTAGGAAGGAGGCAGGTTCTTGCCCCTCTTCGAAGTGAGAGGTTCGTCGTCCGAATCCGTTTCTGGTGCCTTGACCTTGGTCTTTTGTCGCTTGGCCTAGAGTCGCTGTCAGCCTCGGAGTCCGCCACCGTCTGTCTGCCTGCCATGTGTAACCTACCAAAGGAGCATCGTCGTCGCTATCTTCGGTTTCGTCCTTGTAATTGACCTTGGGCAATGATGAACGAGACTTGCGCTTGCCGTTCGTCGATGGGCCATCGACATCCATCGCATCGTCATCCTCTACGGGTCCATTGCGGATAGAGAGACCGGGCGGGGCCGCTCGTGCCTTGGAGGCGGTTCTGTCCATGGCGATGTCGTCGGCTTTCGATATCCTCGATGCAGAAACTGTCGGTGATCAGGTTAGAAAGCTGTTAAGTTTTCATTTGGTTTCGTAGGCAAAGCCAGGATGCAGGAAGTACGCGACGAGTCAGGTGGGTTCGCTGGGGCGAGAGGAGGGAAAAAGTGACACGTCCGGCGTAAAGTGGCAGGCGCGAAGGGTAAAGCGCCCGAAAGCGCAAAAGTTTATGTTTCTTAGCGTACTTACTATGTCCGTTCGACCTCGCAAGAGGTGCGTCGTCGTCTGAGGAACTCATGGTGGGAAAAGGTCTCGGTTCGCGACGTTTACGGACGGTTAAGTAAGAACTGAATCGCAAAGTCCAAAACCGGGGCTTGGTGGAGCAGAAAAAGTTGTTGTAGAAGCCGATCCGCGCGGAAGAATCGCGTAGATATAGAGGCAAAAGCCGGATGGTTGGAAAGGCCGCCACTTGATGAGTTGAAAGACGTAGGGAATGGCACCCACGTCTCTTCGAATCGAAAGGGAAGACGAGGATTTTTTTCGAGGGATCGAGGGAACGAAAAAAGAAGGCCGGGGGTGGGAAAGGCGTCGAAGACCTTCTAGCTACGAGCGAAACTTAATGGGGCTGCCCCTAGGAGTCTAACTGTCTAGGTAAGCCCGGGTAGGTAGGCACAGGTAAGCGGGTGGCAGGTGCTGCTAGAACACAGGAAGGCCTGAACCAATCCAAAGCCTGCGCCACAGCTTCACAGCGCACGTGACCTTCCTGAGCCACCCGGCTGCCGGTCAAACTCAGTTAGCCGGGAAAACGAGGTGGATGGAGTCGGGTGCGAAGACTGCTAGCCGGGGAGGAAAATAACCTCGAACCTACCAATCTCGCTATCCCGAAGCACCGTCCGACAGCCTCAATTGATCTCGAAAGCGGTCGTGGTCAATTGCTCCCCACAAACGGCAGAGGCTCGATCTCCCTAATATCTCAAACTTCACAATGCTTTCCCGGGCGGCGAGACCAGCTCTGCGAGCTGCGGCTGCGGCTCCCTCGCGGTAAGTCGGAATCCACACCTTCCTGAGCTCGGAAAATCGGAGGAAAGGGACAACACGTCAGAACAGTGCCGACGGTCGGCCATCAACGATGAAAGAGGACGGGACTCGAGGGACATGCTGGGAACGATACCAATTGAACACACGAGCGAGAGGAGAAATGAGATAAGAGAGCTGTCATGCTGATTGTGCGGCGTTTCCAGAGTTACGGCCAGCGCGCCCACCAACGCTGCCAACTTCGCGACCCTCCGTGAAATCGAAGGCCGCCTCAAGTCCATTCGCAACATCGAGAAGATCACCAAGACGATGAAGATTGTCGCCTCGACCAAGCTCAACCGCGCCCAGAAGGCCATGTCTGACTCTCGCGTCTACGGCGCCACCTCCAACGAGGTCTTCGACTCCGCCGAGACCAAGCCCCTCGAGGGCGAGGGCAAGAGAGAGCTCATCATCATCTGCTCCTCCGACAAGGGTCTCTGCGGTGGTATTCACTCTGGTCTCTCCCGTACCATCCGTCGCGAGTTCGCCGAGAAGAACGCCACCGCCGACCTCGTCATCCTCGGCGAGAAGTGCAAGGCCCAGCTTCAGCGCACCAACGCCAAGGACATCCGTCTCTCCTTCGCCGGCGTCGGCAAGGACGTCCCCACCTTTGCTGATGCCTCTGCCATCGCCGACCAGATCGTTCAGCTCGCTGGCGACTACTCCTCCATCAAGATCCTCCACAACAAGTTCATCAACGCCACCAGCTACGAGCCTGTCACTATTGAGGCATTTTCCGAGGAGGCCATCACCCAGTCTCGTAAGCTTGCCCCGACATGAATCAGATATATACTGAACGAATTGAACTAACATTGCATTCAAAGCCAACTTCTCCGCCTTCGAGGTCGATGAGGAGCTCATCCCCAACCTCCGCGAGTACGCTCTTGCCAACTCCATCTACTGGGCTCTGGCTGAGGGTCACGCCTGCGAGATCTCTGCCCGTAGAAACGCCATGGACGTACGTTAACACCCTCCTTGACATAAACTCTTGTCCAAGATAGTACTTTGAACTGACACGCCATGACAGAACGCCTCCAAGAACGCTGGTGAGATGATCCAGAAGTACCAGATTCTCTTCAACCGTACCCGTCAAGCCGTCATTACCGGAGAGTTGGTTGAGATTATCACTGGTGCCACTGCCTCCGAGGACATGTAAAGCGGGTTTTTTTGGCCAAAAAAGCGCGCGCATCAGATAGAGATGATTATTGCCTCTCTTCCCTTTGTATCAAGCTACCAAGGGCGGCTAGTTTAGCCCTCAGTGTACCAAATCCTCGCGAATACATCCTGATCTAGAATATGGATCGGTTATTTTCATCTATCTTAAACCCGAGTCTCAGAAATCTGTGCCGTTTGATGAGCGTGTTGCCATTTATTGTTTTGCACACTCTTAACGAGGGTGCCTTTATGTACGGGAGCAACAGTATTACTGTGCAGAACGTTTAAAAAGGCTGGTCTACTACAACCCTTTCAAGGTTCCAACGAGAGCAAATATGACATGTACGGAGGGGGGGTATGCAGAACTCCTCGACACCGTGAACGAGAAATAAAAATAGACTCCCACCACCACAGACGAGCCCCCCGAATGCACCCTTCCTTGCCCTCCATGCAAATCCGTTTAGAAAACAACAGCCAACGGCCTAACCCCTCACTTAATAGAAAACGAATACCTCATCATACCACCCGCGCCTCGTCAGGTAAAACAACCCCGTCAAAACTCCATCTCGCTGCCGTCACTTTCGGCGTAGCTGACATGCTTCGTCCTGCGGTACTTTTGCGCATTAATCTCCCTTTGCCGCGCCGTAGCAGCACTGTAACTATTCCCGCCGCCGCTACCGCTCCCTCCTCCTCCTCCGTTCTGCTGGAGCGGCACGTACGGGTGCTCCCGGTGATACGCGCTCATGGTCTCGACGTACTCTTTATCCCACCGCGCCGACGTCTCCTCGTACTGCTTTACGGCCTCGGCGTACGCCGTCTTCTGCGCGGCGGCCTCGTCCTCGAACGGCTTCTTCTCTTCTACCGAGGCGGCCCGCCACATCTTGGACGTCATGACGCGCACCTCGTTCGGCGCCGTCTTCTTCTTGTTGCCGTTGCCGCTGCTGGCCGCCGCCGCGCGCTCCTCCTCGCACCGCGTGCGCGCGACCTCGAAGAAGGCCCGGCTGTAGAGGAGGTAGGCGTTGGCGGCTACCTTGGCCGGGCGTGCGGGCCGCTCGCCGATTTTGGCTTTGGTGTGTTCCCAGGCGGAGAGCTCGTAGGCTTCCAGGCGGATTTGTTCCGGGTCCTTGGGTCCCTCCATTTCTTTACGCTTGTTGGACACGTTGTTTCCTTTCCTTCGGACAAGGGGTGTCGGGACCTCTATCGGGCCGAGCATCGACTCGAGAACCTCTGACGCGGCGCGGAGTCCTGAGAGGTAGGCTCCATGGACGGTAGCCGGGTGGGTGCCGATTGTGTGTTCTCCAGCGAAGAAGAGGTTGCCGATGGGGCGCGACATGGCGTCGTAGTCGTCCGGGTGCATCTCCGGTCCGGCCGAGGAGTAGCTTCCTCTCGCGAACCTGTCCGAGGCCCAGCGGGTGACTACGGACTCGGCGGGGTACGGCACGCCGGGGCCGAAGACGCTGCGTAAGACCTCTGTCGCCTCGGCGATGAGGTCCTCGTTACTGCTGTGCTCCGTATCAAACCCGGCATCACCGGCCATCAGGGCCACGAGGCACGGTATGCCGGTGGTCTGCGTGACGTTGAACCACTGGAATAAGCGGCCTCGTGAAGAGCCGTAGTCGCTTTGGTTCAGGCTGTGGCGGTTCGGAGCGTCTCGAAGAACGCCAAAGATGTGCCTTTGCGTATCCCAGAATGGTTGATCATAAACGAGTACAAGCTTGTTGAGCACTCCGTACCCTATACGAGTGACTGCTTCCGTCTTCCACTCGGGCAATGGCGGGTCGAACGCGACGTTGCCGTGTTTCAAGACTCCCAGAGGTATCGTCGAAACGACGTAGTCTGCGTCGATGGACGTCCCGTCCTCACACTCAATCGAAGCACGCCCGTTATTCTGTGGTTGGTACGTGATCTTCTTGACCGCGGATTTCGGGCGTACGTCGAGAGGAGTGGGACAGTGCATGAGGCCTCTGGGAACGCTTTGGTAGCCACCGACGATCATGGTGTGCTTGCCTTCCCACTCATTGCCAGCGTCAATATCCCAGCCTCCAAGACTGAGATTATGAAGATTTGTAGCGTTACTGTATTCCAGATTCGCAACGTGCCAGTTGATGAGACGGTGATCTTGGGCAGTCAGGTCGACAATGTTGCGGTATTGAAGGACGGCTTCGTCCATGACCGAACCGAGCGTGGCCGCTGGCAGAGTAACAGCCTCGTTCAGATCGATATTGGCGTCGTTTGCCAAACCGGTCTTCAACGTCCACCCCATTGCCTGGGCTTTCTCGGTTGCCTTTAGTACACCTGGTGTGCCAGGCTGAGTGTGGACACGGCCAGTGAGCTTATCTGACGAGACCGGCACCAGGTTTACTCGTTCGGGGACATTTTGTTGCGAAACGGGCGTTGCATGTGGGAGAGCCGCCACCGCTTCCTCAGCTTGGTGAATTGTCCTGTGGCCGTCACTCACGGCGTCTCGCGCCTCGTCAATCAAGTCTCGATTGCCCTCGATAAGCTTGGCGGGCTGTGACTTGAACTTGTATTCGCTGACGCGATCTAAGCAGTCATTGTAGAGCCTCTCTACGAGCTGGTCCCTTGCAAAGTCCACCGGCTTGCCATTGGAATCGTAAATTGTCGTTTCCGATCGCAGAGCACGGTATGGGAGGCACAATTGCGCACGCACGAGAACGTTCATCGGGTTGCCGCGTTCGAAGCCAGTGATGATCATGCCGCCCATTTCGGCGGTGAACCGTTCCCCGTCAAAATCGGGCAGTGGTATTGTCGGTTTTGTTTTGAACTCCCTCGAGTAGACCCTTCCACCCACTCGCCCACGCCCTTCCAGTACCACAATTTCAGGCACTGGTTCTCCAAGCGCCCGGAAACGATCCTCATACTGCCGTATTAAGCCGTCCAAATGTCTGGCGCAGCCCAAGCCGGACATACCAGCACCGATGATCACAATCCTTTTCTTGTTAAGCGGGACTTCTGCCTCTACGTCTTCTTCTTCTTGTCGATCGTTCGTCGCTGGAAACTCTACACAGCCAAAGTTGATATATCCGCGTCGCAACAGCCAATCGTAACATATACTTGCGACGTCAACCCATCTGGCACCAGCGCAACCAACCGCTTCGTTCCTTGTCACTGCAACACGTGGGTTATTGTACCAGAGCCGGAGGATGCCGTTCCTGATATTCAGATACGTGGTGACTTGAACATGGCTGATGTGTTGTCGCAGCATCTGATATTCTTCCTGGTGCAGGGCATACGGGTTTAGTCTCGATGACTCGGCTGCTTCTATGCATTGCCTTGCATATTCATAGCTTGATAAATTCGAGGGTATGGACGACTTCGGCTTCACGTTGAAGGTCTGTCGCAATGCCTCGCGTACCGGAGGGGTCTCTGCTGACGGTATAGACTCTTCCGTATGCCCGTCCAGTTCAACAGGGGTCGTTGCCTTACTAGACACCGACGGCGGGACCGATGAAAGCTCAGACTGGTCGTGATCAGACAAATTGGTCATCGGCGACTCGAAAGATTCGTGAGGGGTATCGTGTGACTGGATGCGGAGGGTCTCCAACGGAGCAGCCGCGTCCTCGGGCATTGGTGAACTGATCGATGGTCAGCTAAACTCGATCTCGAGCCTCCCAGCATTCATCTCATGAAGCCAGGATACCATCGTGAAAAAGATGCCGTAGTGTATCACCTACTCAGGGTCCGATAATGTGCCGGAAGGATGTTCCGCCTCATCCAGGCTTGAGTCATCCAGGTCCATGTCCATGTCTTCTGTCCACACGACGATTTCCGGGGCAATTTCTGAAATTGCTTCTGATGAGATTCGACTTGACGGCGTTGGTGTCGTCGATTCTGATAAGTGTGAAGTCGATATCCGACTCAGCATCGCACTGGCCCTCGAAGGCGTGAAGTCTGATATATGTGAGGCCCGATCCGGAAAATCCATCAATGATCCCTTCCCAAACCCCGGTTCCTGCTTAACCCGAGACCTCGGACTTGATCTCATATTTCAGTCGTCGACACGGATTGAACTCGAGTATGAAAGATGGATATATATGTTGGCGCAGGCGGATGGTCGATGATGATGAAATCTGCTCAGTCTGAGTCCCGACCAGGGTGTTATATGGCGGGTCTAGTCCCGAGTCGATAACATGTTACGATATCTCAGGTAGACCCGGATAGTCTCGCTGTATAAGCCTGGTCAGCTGATCTAAGTTCTCAGGCTCGCAGGACTTGATATAAGACGAAGCAATTGCAATGTACTTACCTTTTGACTGCGGAGACGCCACTTGCCCCAGCTGCAGGGCACTGTCCCGTGTTCGGTGCTTGATTGAGCCGTCCCGATGCAGGTCAAGTCGCGGTATACCGAAAAGGCACTAGGTGAGTCGCAAACAACTCAGTCTATTGTTTGAGACAAGTATGTTGAGAAATCAAAAGTAACCCGGTCCTAAAAGGAAGTCGTCAGGTACATGACCCGTTGAAATCGCTAAGTTCGGCATTGGACATGAGGAGCTCAAGCGTTCGAGACAAAAAAGGTGGGTCACGTGATGGGCCTTTGCTCCCGTCAGTCGCAAGCCACCCGACCTGACACAGTGCTATATGGGCTGACTGCAGGCCCGAGCCAAAACCGGCAACACCACTGAAGTTCAGGAAGGCACTGACTCGAGGGGCCAGACTGCCGGCTAGCAACACCCAATATTCACGACGAGCAATGATGATTGCTTCTAGTTGGGAAACACTTCTCCACGAGAAGCTCATTATCTGTATGTTGGTCGTATCTTCAAATGCCGAATACGGCCTTCCTGTCTCTCAGCTCTACCATTCTTCCACCACAAACCCTGCGTCCTTTCTCATGCAGTTGGGCTCACCGGCTTGACGTTATCTCTTGCAAACGAATCCTTCTCAATTGCCGCATCCATCATTCGGTCTCCGCTAATGATCGATGTTGTGCAGATGACGATGTTTCTCCGAGCTATGAATGATACAGATTAGTTTGGCAATGCTTCACGACATAAGTTCAATATGGGTAAATACCTTCTTCCTGCTTTGCAATGAACCGCAAAGCAGCGATTTCGGTGAATGTTATACCTCCGACGAACACCACAAATACCGTTTGCTTCTCCGTGCCTCCCGAAAGCAACGCTCGAGCTTTGACGGCCTTCTCCTCACCCTTTTGCAGCTCGTAGAATGTCTGCCCGCGGACGTGCTTTACGGCCTCGTCGAAGCCGTGCCAGCCCTGAGCCGCGGACGCTCCTGTCGCACCACTTGCGCCATTGCCTCTGGTGACTTTGAGCAAATACTGCTTTTGCAGCACACATTGTACAAGACGGATCGACAGTGGCGCATACCCGCTGTATACATAGGCGATGTCGTTTGGGTCGTCTTCCTGAACTTCATCGACGATGAGACGCAGAAGTTTGCGGAGATACGTGTAGTTCGTCTTTGTCCCTGTTGTGTTGCCACCAGAGCCAGTCATCGGGATCATTTCTGCCAATGGAGAAGAGCGCGACAAGAATAATTGAAGTTTCTCGAGGTTATTAAGCGTGAGGATGTGCTGATAGCCGTAGCCCTCGAGGATAAGTCGTCGGAACTGGTCGAATTCCTTTGGTTTGATGCCGCCTGATATGCATGAGTAAATGCAAAGCAGCCTCAGCACTTCTGGTAACGGTGTGTCGCGGGCGATTAATTCCTCGATAGCTTCGAATTGTGAGGAAGGGTCCGCGCCAGCAGCTAGATTCTGCTGAGCTTCCAAGAGACCTTTGAACTGGTCTGTCCGTGTGTACTTCATGACCTCCTCTGCTAGACCTGTATGTATGCGCAGGCTTTGCTGCTCCGCTTGATATCCGGGCAGCTTACTGACAAAGTCCTTGAGCTCAGCGATGGATTTGTGGCTGTTTCGTCCTTCGTAGTCCTTTTGCAAATTCTGAAGTCGCCGAGCGACTTTGTTCAGCAAGCTACCGACAATGGCGAAATTTGTGTCGCGAAGTTGTTCGTATAATTTATCAGAGGAATCCAGCTGGATTTTGCGTTTCCTGGCTTGCGCGCTTGTCGCTGAGGATTGAGAAGGGGCACCGACAACTGTCGTATCAACTTCAGCTTGGTTGTTCTGGATGCCGAATACTTCGTCGATGAGTCCCTCGTAGGTCAGTTGAGTTAATAGAGGAGTGACAAAATCCACTTCGCGGTCGATTATTATAACGCTTTCGGTGAGTGTGCTTGGTGTCAAGCCACCTCGATTCGTCTCGTTCGCATCCTCGCCCGCAAGTATCTCTTGTCGCATTCGTGCTAGGAGCTCCGCAACTCGTTTTGCGTTGTCACCTTTGCCGATGATTCGGGGAAACAAGCCGTGATTCTGTTGGATCTCCATCAATGCCTTGGCGAGCAGGAATGACGGAGTGACGTCTTTCGAGAGATACAGGTCGCGGAAAGACTCATCCAACTCGAGGGAGAGAAGATCCTTTTCAAGCGGGAAGAAGTATAAAGGCAGTTCAGAGATGTTCACGTCGCCCAATACGCCGGCCTCCTCGAGCAACTTGTCGGAGACGAGTGTTCGTCGAGGCACCCAGAAGATGTGGAATTCATGGCCTGTTTGGCTCTCTCGCTGTAAGCGACGGATCTGCTCTGAGAGGTTGTTAGCATGAAGTGCCGCTCACCCAGTAGCATGGAGATCGGCTGCAAGAAGCCTCGCCACCAAGCACTGTCTTACTCGGCAGACCACGGATGATGATCGCACGAGTAAGAAGAAGCTTCGTAGAAATCCGATTGGAAGTGAAAGAGAATGTGAGATCCGGATAGTGAAGGGTGCTGACCTGCTATGGCTGACGCATGGCGAGCGCACTCGCCGCGGGCTATGAAGATGACATTTCGCTGGCTGGTGTCGGCGTTCTTGTTCTCGAGGAAGAAGAACTTGTCTACGCCGTATTCCTGGAGAGTAGCGACCTTGACGATGGTACTGATCGGGCCCGCTAAGCTGCGCTCAAGAATGAGGTTCTTCTTCCCCCGGACCTGGAAACGCCGAGGTTAGCTCACGAAGAACAGGCAGCCGGGGCGAAATGCCTTACTTACAGCCTCGAGCAGGTAGAGGAGGTCCTTGCGCGCTTTGTCCTTTATCTGGTCCGTATTGAAGCCAGCTCGAGGAGCCATTTTCAGTTCTCCATGCAACTGGCACCGGGTGTTGTTTCGTGGAGCGCAGATTGACCGCTGCTGGGCGAGGTGACGTGGTCGGGGTAAGGTGAGGTAGGTAGATGGAACGGTGACGGAGAGCTGTGGTCGCAAAGCACCTGGAGCTATCGGGTTGAAAGATTAGATTGGCTACCTCAGTACGGGACATCTTGCACAGAGAGCATTTGCGTCAGCGGGGCCAGGCCACCAGGGTGATTTAGGTGCTACGCTACCTCACAGTGCAGGTGCTCTTTCGGGGAATTCCATGCCGGATCAGTGGGGGCCAGTCACTGTGTCCGGCCCGCTATCCAATCCGCCAGGTCGATGAATGTCTCAACCTGGAAATGTTTCCAGAAAGAATGCTTCGCGATCGCTGGTCGCGACGGTTTATTCTGCAGACTTGCAGCATGAAAGCTCTAGAATATGATCTACTTGCTAACATGATGCGCAGCCGAGGTCACCTAGGATGTATACCTTACATGGCCAAAAAAAAAAAAGCATGGTCCGCTGATCCCACCAAACATCAACATGGGTGTCAATACCGTCCTCTACGGGGATGCGATCCCGCTCGTGACACAATTTTCCCGACTGATCTCTTCGAGATATCGCTCCACGAAAGCTGACGAGGGCCAAAATCGCCTTAGTCACCTCATCTTCTCCCCCTCAGCCGAGCACCAGCTCCTGAACACTCCGCTTGTCCTGGGGTCCCCTTCTGTATGCCGAAATCCGATACAACGCCATACCCAACCCTGCCGCGCAAATGTCTTGTGTTGTTCAAACGGTGTTATCGTGATAGTAGAAGTCAATATCTCTAGGGCGCAAGCGATTGCTCCGAACGAATTCGTCATCTCCCGCCGGCCGCTCGTTCTTTTCGTTGCCTGTTAACATGCTCTGTATACTCATGCAGACGCTCTCGACGTTCTGTACGGGACTCCAGCCTTGGCTGCCGAGCAAATCGAGACAGATGATGCCATTGGAGTAGATATGAGGGTGCATGGGAATCGGTCGCTCGGTGGTCTTGACGAAGGTGACCTCTGGGGGTTCTATAGACCAGATTATGTTACTTGGGGAGGTACTGAGGAGCTGGTATGCGCAGAGAGGCATACCTATGGGATATTGTTGGGAGAACTTGAATTTCAGCCTGTAAACCTGGTCTTTATACAGCGGGTTGTCGTCCAAGACTTTGATGTCCATGATCCATTCTTCGAAGTTGTCGGCCGAGATGAGCTCGATACCTGGAGGCAGGCCAGAGTTGAGCTGTGAGAGTTAGGAAGATTCCTGAGGCGAGCGCGCGCAATGCGACAAGGTGCAAATGGATCGATCGCGGGACAGACAGGTTGAGGTAGCGAGCTGGGCGTGAGGTTACGAACCTTGGACAACTCTTTGGCCAGCCGCTTGGAAGCAAAGCTGGAAGCCATTTTGAAGGGCGATCGAATGGGCCGGAGGAGGATGAAGCCCAGGCGAAAGTGGCTCGACGAAGGAAAAGGGAGAAGTTGAGCGAAGGAGAAGTTGTCAGTCGGCGGCTCGAGAAGCAGCCCAGGCAAGGCAGGCGGGTTGCGGCTCGCTGCTTGCTGAGGGGCTTGTTGGTCGCTTGGAGGGGCTGCCCAGAGAGGAGGACCCCACGAATTGGTGGTTCCTGCCGAGAACAGCAGCCAAAAGTGTCCAGGAATGTGGGAAGCAGCCGATGCGGGAGCCAAATCCCAGGGTCTAAACCTGGGGGTATTAAAGAAAGCCGGATGCAAATCAAAAAGGACGGCAAAGCAAATACGCGCCCAACAATGAGAGTGAACGAGGCAAGTGTGCAGCAACGTCAGTTGTTTGGTCGGTTTAACAATGTTGAGACACGCGGGCGTGTTGGAGACGGTCCACGAGTTACAGGCGTGGACGGTGGCACTTGGCTCTTTACGTAGCACGTAGCACGTAGCACTCAGCACTCAGGTGCTCTATAGGTTGTTTACTGTATGAAGTACCTGTGTACTGCGTACACAGATTAAAGTACTGTACTGGAAAGCTGGAACACCTTACCTAAGACTTTCAAGGTCCAAATGACGCCGCGGGGGAGGATTGGCGGCGGCTCAATGTATCTTGAACCGATGCGAATGCGCGTGCTGTAACCCAGTCGCAGGCCCGATGGACCCACTTTTCTCAATGCCAGTGACAACCCAAAAACATTGCATCTTTGAAGAGCAAGAGCAAGAGCGGCCAGGGACAGCCTACCTACAGGTACCTTGCCTTAGGTACATATTCGTTGTGTAAGGCAGTCCTGTTATCAATAGCCTCTCATAACTGGGCACCTATACTGAATTCTTTGCCATCAATCTTCTTAGCCCTCAAGAATAGGTAGGTATATGTATCTACATCAAGACAGCAAGGCGCTGCAATGATAGATGAGCATACACTTCCGTCTAGACGGAGTCATATGTCACGCGCCATTTCTGAGGATATTGCGGTAGAGTCTGCCAAATATATGTGCTTCTGGAATGTCACAAATGTCTCTACCTTAGCCAGCAAACTGCTTTCTGTCTGAATCATTTCCCTGCTTGAGGGCCGACGTTTGACTACGCCAGGCTCAAACACCCAAATTGTCATTGATGACGTCTGCTGGCGAAAACACTTCATGGGCCAGGCTAGGAGGATACATGCAGAGTATAGATCAGGCTTTGCTGAGCAACACTGCAACTCTGATCTATGGATGTCTAAATATTGACAGGAGGGAGCCATCGACACTGCAGCTGTCGACTAATCGGATACCATACCCAGCATGCCTCGTCCACTTAAGATCGAAGATATGGGATCATCTACCTCTGAAGATGCGGTTGCAAGCAGGTCGAACCGGAGGTTAAGCCTTACGACCCAGCAAACCCAATGAATTGGAGCCTGGAAGTAAGAGTCAATGCCTGTCATAGGCGCACGAGGGTGACAGGGCAGCCAGCAGATAGGTGCAAGGTGGAAAGAGTGGCCTCCTCAGCCACACTTCGGCGGCTCCCTCATCCTCCGGTGTGTGCCTCCAGTGCCTCCACAGCTCCAGTCGTTTTGATCGTTCAGGATACGGCGGCCCACTCCAAGACGTCCAGGACCCTGGTCCGTCATCGTTAGTGCTCGTGGATGCCGTCGCTCATTCACGGCCATGTCCGTGCTCTCCCTCTTCTTCTGCGGCCTGCCCCTCATTTCTCTGCGGCTGAGCATCCTTTTCAATTCTTACCAGCCCACAAGGCTCACTCCAGCCTGCCATGACCCCTGAATCTTGTTCCCGGTGATGCCACAACCGCCTTTTTCGTTTTTCTGTGCACATGCTGGAGCTGTACAGCCTGAAGGTTAGGTTAGGTTGCCTCCAGGAGGTATGCTGTGTAGTGACTTTACCTTGGTACCTTTACCTGCTCTCTACAGATAGGCTTTACAGATAGACGCAGCACATTAATATATGTATTCAAGAGCCATTCACCCCCAGACCCGGGGACAAGAAGTACCTATTCTCATTCTACCAACAGGTGCAAGGTGCTTGATCCCAAGAGTACCTCTTACTTGTGAAGCTCACATAGAAAAGTACCCTCTTACGCTCTTACTTCCCGCTTTACCCCACCTCCCCCTCAACCCAAGCACCAAGAGCTACCAGCACCCCGACGACCCCCCTCCCGAATCCCGTCCAGTCTACCTGGGAAGTCTCCATCAGCAACCGCTGCTTCTCTGTCCTGTCCAGGGTCGAGCCTTCTTTCTGCTCGATTTTTCTACTCCAGACCTACGCCAGCCTCAAGCTCTCCCTCATAAACGTCGTCTGCACTCCCACCGCTGACGCCCGCCTCTTCTCGGTCCCATCATCCCCAAGGCTGTGTCTGTCCGATCATTCCACACACACAACTCTCGCTGCGACCGATAACCCCGCCTCAAAAATGAGTTGTAAGTTCTTGGGTCGAACTGCTCTTCTGTGATCTTGCCAGGTCGTTGTCCTGCTCTGCCGTGATTGCGAACATGCTGCCTCGCGCAACACTTCTCCAGTCCTACTGCTCCCAATCCACAAGCAATGCTGACCGCACGCTCGCCCATAGTCTCCAATATGCTCAGCAGGCTCCAGGGCCAACCCGAGAGCTACGATAAGAAGTACGAACAATTCCAGACCAATATCTAGATACCATATCCTGACGTCCTCTCTACAGGGCTAAATATCGCTTCGGTCGCACTCTCGGAGCTGGAACTTACGGTATCGTCCGTGAGGCTGACGGTCCTACTGGCAAGTGCGCCGTCAAGATTATTCTCAAGAAGAATGTGAAGGGCAACGAGAGAATGGTCTACGACGAGCTGGACATGCTCCAGCGTCTGAAGCACCCTCACATTGTCAAGTTCGTTGACTGGTTTGAGTCGCGTGTGAGCAACCCTCCGCTGCGAAGCCATGCCCGGACTGTCAAAACTGACAACTATCTTATAGGACAAGTACTACATCGTCACTGAACTAGCTACTGGCGGAGAGCTGTTCGATCGTATTTGCGAGCAGGGCAAGTTCACGGAAAAGGATGCTTCGCAAACCATCAAGCAGGTCCTCGAAGCCGTCAACTACTTGCACCAGAACAACGTCGTACACAGAGGCAAGTTTTGCCATTATAACTTGGGTGCCCATTTCATTCTAACTAGTAGATCAGACTTGAAGCCCGAGAACCTCCTGTACCTTACCAGAGATATGGAGTCTGATCTCGTCTTGGCCGATTTCGGTATCGCCAAGATGCTCGACCGCAAAGACGAAGTCCTCACAACAATGGCCGGTTCCTTCGGCTACGCAGCCCCTGAGGTCATGTTGAAGAAGGGCCATGGTAAGCCGGTAGACATGTGGTCCATGGGTGTCATCACATACACTCTGCTTTGCGGTTACTCTCCTTTCCGCTCGGAGAACCTCCAGGATCTTATCGATGAGTGCAGTAATGCTCAGGTCGTCTTCCACGAGCGTTACTGGAAGGATGTCAGCGATGATGCAAAGGACTTCATTTTGCATCTTCTGCAACCAGAGCCCGTCAAGCGCTGGTCGAGTGAAGTATGTACCAGCCCTGCACCAATGTCGAGAAATAAGCACTGACAATGACAACAGGAAGCTCTCCACCACCCGTGGCTCAGTGGAGAGAATGCCACCGACCACAACTTGCTGCCCGAGATCAAGGCCTACATGGCCAAAGCCCGTCTTCGCCGCGGTATCGAGATGGTCAAGCTTGCCAACAGAATCGAGACGCTCAAGGCACAAGAAGAGGACACAGAGGACTCGGACTTCCCAGCCGACGCTATCAGCGCCGCAGACCAGTCCAAGCACGTTGGCGCACACGAAGTTGCCACTGGCGAGAAGCGCAGCCTTTCCAAGACGATCAAGGGCGCCATCTTCCGTGAGGTCGTCCTTGCCAAGGTCCGCGAGATGAAGCAGCAGCAGGACACACTCAAGGTGAAGGAGGATGCGGAGAAGGAGCACAGAAGACGCAGCTTTCAGGGATGAGAAGTGACGCACGTCTCTGTATGGTGACCTGGGCGAGTCAGTCAGGACTCAGGAAGATGATACCACACGGGTTGGATGATACAACGGGCCACTGGTCGCGGCTCAGCAGCGGCTTTGAAGTTTTTTTAAGTTCTTACTGCTTTTCGTTGAGCACTCATTTCGTTTCAAGCCGAAGATACATGGCTAGATGAGCGCTATATGTTTGTTGCTTTGCCTGGGCGGGCGAGGGGGGACAGAAAAGCCGGGGACAGATATGACTTTGAGCAACACCCATCACTTCTTCCAGATTCGAATCTCTTCTTACGCATTACTACTTGATCTTTGGTGAATCTTCCATCCGTGGCATACAATATCTGAATGCTTTATGAAATGGCCATTCTTAGTCTCGAGCAATGAAAGTCTCGGTCGCCAGCCTCTGGATTTGAGACTAGACTTTGGTAGAAGCAACGTATTTATGCTCTGCTACTTAAATGTATATACATAGGAAGTTCATCCCCTTCAACACAGTCTCTGTCATCAGCACAGCAGACGCCTTCCTAGGTCGGTTGGTTAGGTCAGATTGGGCTGGATGGGTGGGAATGGTTCAAGGTCAACAACAATCAAATCACTGCCTATAGACTACTCGACGATAGGCCTTCTTCCCAAAGTTCCCCGAGTTTGATTTCCTAGAATGGGCACGGAGAGATGTAGTCCTACCCAACAGTAAATTCTTTATTGAGGGCAAGCAAGGCCCTTTCGATGCTAGGAGCCGTTCGAGGTAGTAAATATACCCATCGACTTGACCACACAGTCAGACATAGCCATCATCAGGCTCATGTACGTGTATCCTGCCCGTGACTGCATCTACCTCTCCTTACCCTCTTGGTCTTCAGGTTTTGTCTTTCATACGCAACTCTCGGAGGGGACGCAAACCCTGACACAGGGAGAGGAAGAGAGAGCGTTAGTAATCAGTCACGGCACATGAAAGACTTTGAACGAGGTACTATGATGTTTATCAAGATGGAACTTTGCTATTTGGCATTGCTGCTACTTGAAGTCGGGGAGAAGGGGGTGAATCCGAGATAGACTTCTCCGCTGTTCCTTCCACCCCTGTGCTCTCTACTAATACTACTACTACTACTAATTGTATTGTTTTGGGTTCGTAACGAGTCGTTGTTGTGCTTGTACAAGGTATATCGAGAGAGAAGTCCGAAAAGACAGACCACCAATCAAGTGCGCCGTCCTGCCCTGAAATGCTGCCGAACGGGGGGTAAGAAATCCCCCTAGATGCTTTTTGTTTCGCCGTGAAATAAATGGACAAGATTGCTTCAAAGCATGGTACAGTAGAAGAAAGAGAGACCGGAGGTCGGTGGTATCATTGTAAACTGGAAACAGGTGGGGAAAAGTGCAAGATACGAGGAAAAGGAGGGTTCGATCATCTGGAAGTGACGGTTCATTCCAACTCGGCGAGAACGCTCTCACGAAGCGCCTCGTAACGGCCGATATCGAAGCGACGTCTTTGCCAGTTGTTCTGGCGCAGACGCTCAATACGGGCCTTGATGTCAAGATTACGCAGTTCATCGCTGAGCTCCGGGGTCGCTGCCCTGGCGGGGAGAGAGTGGCGTCCCGTATCGCTTTGTCGGGGTGCCGCGAGCTGCTCCTCGACGTTGGAAATGTGGACTGCGATCTGCGATCGTAGGCTGGAGAGCAAGCCGCAGTAGCGGTGAATGGAGCGCTCTTGAAGGAAGTCGAAGGCATCGCAGTCCTCGTTCAGGGGCTCGGGCGTTGTTGGCTTCGCAACCTCTTCAGCGGGCTCATCGGCAGGCTCGGGCTCCTCTTGGAGGACCGGGAGGTAGCGCGGGGGTTCGGGCTGTGGTGGCGCACAGAGAAAGTCGTCAAAGCCAAGAGTGGGAGAGTCAGGGCGGATGAACGGCTCTTCAGGAACGTCGCAGAAGGTGACGCGCTTCTTTGGTGGCGGTTGGGTCGCGGAGAGCTTGTTCATGGCGTCCTCGACGGAGCACACGGACGGCGTGGGTGACGAGAAAGCGGTTGAGTTGGTCCACGTCCGCGAGGATGCATGGGACGAAGTAGAGCTCGAAGGCGAATGCATACTCGAGGTCGCCGCTGAGGATGGGCGTGAGGAGCGAGCCATGGTCTCATCCGCCGCCTTGCTCAGTTCCGAGGCTCGGGTGTAATGTTCACGAGCTTGTTGGAGAAGCCGTGTCCGATACGGCGAGGCGCATTGCAAAGGCCGGGAGAGCATGTCAAAAGAGCTGGCGGCGTAGAAGTGAAGATAGATGAGATAAGCCGGCTCAACGTTTGCCTATTGACTCGGTCAGTACAATCCCAAGCTACTTCAGATGAATGCGACTTACAGATTCCTTAATATTGTCTAGGATCTCGCAACAACGCAAAGAGCATGGTCGGTACTTGCGGTTGATATACTGACGCTTGACCTCAGAGACAGCCTTGCTCCATTCAGCAGATGTATAAGGTAGAACGGGGAGCGGTGCCGGCTGCGATGCAGACCGCTTGTGCACTCGAGCCTTAGGAGGTCCGACTGAACTGGTGGCCATAGTTGGTGACGTTGCCGCAGGCTGTGGTGTTGTGATGGGGGCGCTGGGCGACGGTGCTCTGTTGATAGGAAAAATAACGCTGCCACGGGAGCCGGCGGCAGCGGGCTTAAGGAGGAGAGGTATTAAACCGCCCATTGCGATAGATTTAGAGTGCTTGCGCGCGTGAAGAGAGTTCGCGATACTAGGTTGGCTGAGTGATGGACGACGGCTAACTCAGCTCGCCACCTTTTCGTCCGATATGAGACCAATGGCTGGATGAAATCAGGGCCAAAGTCTACTCGTGAAGTCGATAGTGCGGGTTAAAGTCCAAGGGCCAATGGCAAGCCGGCGCGTTGTTGGACCAAGCAATAGTGTTCGTTGGTGACACTTATGACTTACGCTCAAGTCGAAGTATCAAGGCAGATGCAGAGTTGGCTCAGAAAAGACGAGAGCGACAAGTGAGGGCTGAAGAGGCCAGACGTGTCCGATAAAGCACGAGGCAACGATTCGGGTGTAAGTGGGTTACCCCGAAATGCGTAACAGGCGTTGTACCGGGACTCGGGAACAGTCTCAAGTCGTCTGAACTTTCGTGCAGGTCGCGTGCAGGTCGATGGTTGACCTTAGCACCCAGAATGATCTTCGTCCAGGGTTTGTGTCAGAAGCTGCGGCAGGAATGTTGGGCTTTTCAGACGTCTAGATGTTCCCACGGCGCGGGATTTGCTTGCGGGTGAACCTTTGGGTTTGCAAGGTTATCAGGATGAACTGGGAAACAATGACGTGCCCAGGTAACAGTCGTCGAGGTGTTGTAGATCAAGGTCGTAGTACGGATACGTAGCACAGGAAATGGTTCGATTTTTTTCCTGTGATCTGTCGAAAACGGGGAAGCAAGCTGTCTGAGGCTGGAGTTGAGATGAGCTGAAGGTCGAAGAGACAGGAACAGCGAAGCGCCGATCGAGTTGAAGACCAATAGTAAGGATTTGTATGTGGTAGCCAAGTGGTGAGGGTGGCGGCTGAATAGTCAAGACCGAGACAAGGTACACAAGGTGAGACCAGCGTAGGTATCTGAATTAATGACGAAGTGGCCACTGAAGGAGAGCTGGGAAAGCTCAAGTAGAAAAGACGGCTTGAGGAAACTGTCAGTTGAGGCTGATGGTACAGAGTATGGACCAAGGCAGTGAGTGAATGGGTGGGCAGCCGATACGATGCGAGAAACACAACAAGAAACGACGGAAGAGGCTGGGGATCGATCACAGGAAAGATTCCTCGGAAATCAAAACCAGAGACCCTTTGGGCCTGGGGGGATGGGCCGTGTTCAAGTACCTCATGGAGTCATGGATTGCATCCAGGGGAGGTGATTTCGGGACCCCTCAAGCACTCGAATTGGGGATCCGTACGGATACCGTCCACACGTCTGGCAGAGCAGAGCTCGAGCACTTTTCGAGTTTGGTTTGGGTCCTGGGCAGGGTGTTTGCGCATCGACGTTGGACTAGGGAGAAAGGGGGAACAAGCTTCAGGCGTGAGTGGCCTGCGCAATGAGATTTTCTCGTCTCCTTCGAGGACCTGCATATCGAGCTCCATCTCGCTGTGGTGTGTTCCCCTGGCACCGGCGTGGATTTTCCTGTCGACCCTTGCCTCTAACCCTGCTCGTCGTTGGTGCTGCCCATGGTGTTGAACCCCACCCCAATGCAAGTCTCTTGCGTACAAATGTAACTCTGCCCATAGTAGTTTGCGTACCTGGCTACGCGTTGTGCTGCGCAGCCGTGTGCTTTGGGCGAGATTTCAGCAAATCATAAATGGTTCTCTCGGCCCTCGCGTGGATACGCTATGAGCTGCGAGGCGTTGCTTGGTGCGTGGGATGGCTTGAGATGGCTTGGGTTGCTCGGGTAGAGTTGTGAGAAACTCGCCCTGTGCAATCTGCAAGGTGCGAATAGTTCCCACCTCGCAGCAGCGCCCTAGTCCGTTAGCCCGTGGACTGGACACGCTAAGTATCCGTATGAGCCTACGAGAGAAAAGATTCAAGACGAAGATGGGGCGGTCGAAGCCAACGAAGTTTGTGGGACTTGTGCGTATGAAGCAGAAGTGCCCGTACCTGAGGCTATTAATTGCATCCCGAGAGCGCCGTAGCGTGTTCTACACGCGATAAGTAATTAGATGCGATTATGAAGCAGGGATGGGCTTCTGTCAGTGTCAGGTCTGGAATTGCGATGGGGGGAGACGGGCGATGCGCGGTCCCGTTGTGGATTGCACGGGATGGACGGAGATGATTCGCACGCCGGTCGACTATTAGATGTCATTTGCGAAGGGAGGCGATGCTGATTAAGACTCTAGACTCCGAGTCACGGCTCACGACACATTGGAGAAACGCCGTCTGTGTCTCGTCAGCAAGGAAGAGAGTTCGACACTTGAGTAGCAACGAGCCGGAGGTCCCAACGTCAAGTTTGAAGGGAAGATTCTTGCACATAGCGCGGCTTCTTGACGACTGGCCAGCTGTTGGTGGAGCATGATGCAAGACGGTTGGAAGACACACGAAACCCTTGCTTGAAAGGGACGAGAAAGAGAAAAAGAAAAAGAAAGCAACCCGAGGAGAGTCGGTAGAAAAGCTCGCAATGCCTTTCTCTTTTCGTAGCGTATCGGGTACTCGTAGACTTGAAGCAGAAAACCAACGGCCGTCAAAGTCGAATCCACCGTGGGATAACTCAATGAACCAACGGTTTAATTAGGCCGTGGACCTTCCAGACCTTCCAATTGTATTTGATTTCCAGTTCCCCGGTTGGCCGTCGATTCCGCCGTGTTTGCTGCTGGAGTCTTGCTGGGATTGGTTTGAGGCTTTGAGGGGTGACGAGATGAAGAGAGGGGAGCCTCATTGCCCTCACCCTGGGATCTGGGAATTGGGGTTTGGGAACTTGTGCGGCATGCCTCCTTCCATTGGAAAGTGGGAGTCGAGACGTACCTGCACAGCCAGGGACTTCCCGTCGTGCCTGCCTTCCTTTCCTGGGCGTGGTGGACTGGTGACTGGGCGACCTGCTGCCCTGCACCGGAAGCCACGAACCGACAACCGAACAGCGGGTCTTTCCCTCCCAAACCTGTCCTTACGAATACGTACCTAGTGTTGTAAGTCTCAAAGAGGGCAAGAGGCTCCCAAGATGCTCCACGGAAGGCACCATCCCCTGCATCAGATCTCCATCGTCGTTCCCTTCCTTGGGTTGCTGTCATTTTCCACGCTTCTTTCGCCCCCTGCCTTCCCTGTCGTCAACCTCGTAACCTCCTCTCGCCTCTACGGCTTTTCATTGCACCTTATTGAACATCATGTCCACAAGCAACGCGATGTTTTGGCCCGCCCTGTTCTCAGGAACTCCTCTTCTTGTCCAGGTTCATGACAAGTGACAGCATCACACCCACTTCCACGTTCATAACGCGCAGGTGTGACCCTGCAACACTCTCCATGCCACCATGGGGCCTTCGACTTTCGAACCGTTCCTTGGGAACTGTGGTCCAAGAACCTAGCTAGCCTACGATCTCCCTCTCCTACTCCTTGTGCACTTGGGCCTCCTTCACCTATTCGGGGCCGGCACTCGAGTAATGCAGAAAAGCATGCAATATGACACGCCAGCGAATGAATCTCCGCCGACATGTAGCAATATGCCCCCTTGGGGCCCTGCCGCGGTCCGCCAGCAGCACCGCCCGTCGGTCCCAATAACGTGGTAACCTCAATATGCGGTGCTCCGTACGGATATCCACGTCGGTCACTTTCTCTACTTCATCATGGAGTGTCTTTCAGTGGGCAGAATATTCCAATGAGTAGTCAAGCTGCCGGGTTGCCACCACTGCTTCTTGTTCTTACGGTGGCCTTGATGCCCGTCCAGACCACAAGAAAGGTGAACGAAAGGAATACAAGTGGCAGAAAACTTCTTCCACCGCCACCGGGACTTGGAGGGAAAAGCAAACAGGAAGTGCCAACGCAGAGGAAGTGGACGATGCGGACGAGGAAAAGCAATACAATGGGTCAAACTTGCCGCATCAACCCAGTCCAAGCCCTTACGCATGAGAGTAAAAAGGATACAAAATCGACAGAAACTATCCCCGGGTGTCTTGGCGCCTATAATCTCGTGTCGCCCTCGTCGACAAATCCGACGCGGTGCATACGATCCAGATAGTTCGTGCTCGTCCTCGTAGGTGCGATTTCAGGGGCGAGCCAGACGCCAGAGAATGACGGTCGTTGTGCCTAGGAGCGAATTTGATCCCAAGGACGAGGCCTCAGCGCTGGCTCAAGGCTCACGGACTCAGAACCATCAAAAATTGGGACTGAAACGAAACATCTCCATCTCCCCCGCTCGCCTATGAGGTCCCCCCAATTCCTCTTCCCATTACCACCACGTTGTGGACATCCGCACAGATCTCCAAGGACTCCAGACGGCATGCACCTCCAATCCCTTATCACGGTTGCAACCGTGGTGCTGCTGCACAATGAACGTCCGTGCCTACACATTTCCGGTTCTCACCGCAAAATCAAACAGTAGTCTGATTCGTCCTTCCAAGTTTGAAGACTTGTCGAAGACGGGTTTTGTGTAGGTGTCGTTCGTTTGAAGCTGAATGCAATGCAACAAGCTTTGAGCATAACATAGGTGAGTAAGTCTCGTCGGGTAATACTGACAAGTGCGACACTCGCCACATGTTTGTTGTGATTGATACCCTAACAAGAACGACAACTCGTGGGATGACTATGGAACATAGAAACAGCCATGCACAACGGACAAGCACGAATTTCTTCCAAAGAAGCAAAATACCTTAAAAAATTCAGACGAACGTTGTGCTGCACCTAGGCCCGGTCCCTCCTGCAGTAGCGGACGGAAACCACACCACAAGTGCCAGTTGCCAACCGTCAATCGACCGATTCGTGCAGCTTTCGATCCATTCTTCCGTTTGCAACAAATACGCTCAACTTCTCAATGTCGGCGTTCCGCAAAGCTTTTTCCGGGTTCCTCTCTGACCCTGTCACCTCTGGACAGGCTCTGGTCAGAGGCCCTGTCAACTTTGACTCGAGCCCTGCTCGCCCTATCACGATGTCGGCGGGGTTGTGCGCCTTGGATTCCTTGAAACCCCCACCCGACTGCTTATCGTCGAGTCCAGGCTCCAGGTCCAGCGCTGAGGGGTAAAGGAACCTGCGCGCGGGTCGGCTTGAAGAGCAGGGAGACGGAAAGAGAAAGAAAACGGGACGTCTGCTTGGGTGTGATTACGCCTCATTTGAGCGCGAGCAACTGCGAATGGCTTCAGTCTGTCGCGAGCGGTTTCTCTCCATACTCTACCGACCCCGGATCTTCTCTGTCTCTCTCTTGCGTCGCGATGGTTACACTAGCCTTGGACAGTACAGAGATCCGGGGTTGTCTGCCACCTGTCGATGATCGACGGAGCTATAAGGAGAGATGTGCTCTACGACATCAGGCCATCTGAACCCTCGAGCTCTCGAGCTGATCAGACAGCGTACGAATAGCTGGGTACACTAAATCTAGCCGACCCAAGTTCACGTACGAAGTACAAGTCCCTGTGCGCATTGAGTTTAGCACTAGATCCTCCATGGTGCGACGGAACCAAGCTTTTTCTTGCGTGCGGCCGGGTGCCTGACAATCCCGCCGTTGCAACCCGCTAGGGGGCGTTCTGTTTTGGGCTTCCTTTGTGAAGTAACATGGTGGGAAAGAAGGTCATTGCTCTGACTACCTACTTGTGCTACTTACACTACTCCGTACTCGTCGTTTCTCTCTCCCCCTCCTCCCCCACGTGGTGGTTTGAGAAATGATCCACGCCAACCTGTAACGATAAACTCGACGGGGAAAGGGGGGGGGGGGGTTCTAAATTCTGACCGTGTCGATCTGGCTTGCTTCTATGCGCTACCTGATATAGGTGCGATCGCGGGATATCACTATGTAGGTAGAATCGCTGGCCACAGACAAATTATAACTTATGGTTTAGATAGTTTGACTTGTAAGACTGCTCGGCCGTACTACACGACCATTATAGCTAAGAGTCGACAAGAAGATCACAATTCGGACTTGGAGTGGTAGATAGATACCTGAAGGTAATGAATGCAAATCATCGCCGACTAGGTAGGTAGTCAGACGGCCGTTTCTATTTTCGAATGCTTTTTTTGTGCTTCTGCTTCTAAAAATCTTGATCCCACCTCACCGTAATCTATGCGCTCGGTGCTGCAGGCTTGCTCTCCTCCGTGGCTTCCGTCGTCGCCGCCGCCGCCGCCGCCTCCGCGGGCTTCTCCCCTTCCGAGACAGCAGCGACAGGCGCCTCGGCAGCAGCACCAGCAGCAGGCGTCTCGACGACCGTCTCTTCCTTGGCCTTCTCCGTGGTGGACGTGGTGGACTTGATGTCCTCGCCCTTCATACCGCCAACGACGCGCAGGCCCTCGGCCCGTGTAGCAAGGTTGTCGAGCTCGCGCTTCCGCGACAGGCGCTTCTGCACCTCGGGCACGAGCGACGCCATGTCGACGAGCTCGCCGTCCTTTTGGGGGTGGCCCTCGGGCAGGCCCAGCTCCTTGATGCGGACGACGCCCTTTTGAACCTCGTCGTCGCCGAGGATGATGGCGAAGGGGGTAGCGTTGGACTCGGCTGCCTTGAACTGCGGCGGCAGCTTGGGCTTGACCTTGTAGAGGAACTCGGCCTAGAGGGAATGAGTGTCAGCGATGTGCCTTCTTTGTGATCGACTGGGAGTTCTTGTAAGTTGGGTCTTACCTTGACGCCGGCGTCCCACAGCTTCGAGCACACCTCGAGTCTCTCCTTGATCAGACCGGCCTTGGAACCCAAGGACATGACAAAGACGTCAACCGTACTTTGCGGCGCCTCGCTCTCGGCCTGCATCCGGGCCTTGGTAATGCTAAAGATTCTCTCGATACCAAAGGAGACCTAAACTGCCTGTCAGTATCCCACGCGATCTCTTGTTTGACTCCTGCGCTCTGACGAGGGGGATCACTTACACCAACGCACGGAATTTGCGTCTTGCCGGAGAACATGCCCACGAGGTTGTCATAGCTGCCATCGTTTGTTAGCGGCCTGAGAACTGTGACCTAGAACAATCTAGTTTTCTTTCTCCTTACCGTCCTCCGGCTGCGACACTGCCGACACCGACGCTGGGGTCGTCGGAGCGGTCGTCGTCGTCCTTGCCCTTGCTCTTCTTCTTGGGCTTCGCCGTCTTGCCGTCTGCGTCAGGGGTAACGGCCGGTGCGGAACCTTCCGTCACGACCTCGTAGATGAGGCCAGTGTAGTAGTCCAGGCCACGGGCGAGGGAGAGGTCAAACGACACTCTGTCGAGGGCGCCAAAGGCCTCTAGGTAGGTGAAGAGAAGTTCGAGGTCGGCCATGCCGGCCTTCATCGAGGCGTTGGCGGCGAGCTTGTCGTCGCGCTGCAGTTTCCGGAGCAGGTCCTGCTTGCCCTTCTGAACAACCCACTCGCCAATCCTGTCGGCCACCTCGCCGTCCAAGCCCTTCTCCTCGGTCATCTCCTTGCGCACGTCGGCCCAGGGGAGCTTGTCGAGCTTGTCGACGGCCGAGGATATCGTCCGGATCTTATCCTCGGGGACGCCGCAGACCTCAAAGATACCGTCGAGGATCTTGCGGTGGTTGAGCTTGATGGTGTAGTTTCCGTTCCAACCCAGGCCCTCAAAGACCTCGACGACGATCTTGATGATCTCGGCATCGGGGATCATGGAGTCGTAGGTTCCGGCGATGTCGAAATCGCACTGGTAGAACTCGCGCATGCGGCCTTTGTTCATGGCAGGCTGGTCACTATGAAGAGTATGTCAGCCAGCTGTCGACTGTATTATAGGAAAATGATGTCGTAGATCGTACCGGCGGTAGACCTTTGAGATGTGGTAGCGCTTGACGCTCTGAATGTCCTTGTTCATGGCGAGCCATCTCGCAAAGGGAACGGTCAAGTCGTATCGCAGGGAAGTGATCTCACCACCCTGATCGGCTAGGTCGTAGATGAGCTTCGAGTCTTCGCCATACTATAGAAAAGAGTGCTGGTCAGCATCCTGCATCTTGTTGTTGAGTCGAGAGCCCCAAGTGGATCGCGGGGTTCTCGCAGGTGGGGGGAGGGGTAAACACGGAAATATGTCGTACTTTGCCTGACAGAATCTCCTTCAACTCGAAAACGGGGGTATCAAGCTCCATGCCACCGTGCTTCTGGAAGACACCCTTCAGCTGCGAGAAGATCTTCTCGCGGATGAGCATGTCCTTGCCGAACCCTTTGAAGCAAACATTGTGTTAGTCCGCAGCGCATTCCGTCGTACGATGCCGTCTTGGGTCGCAAGAGTAAATATGGACTGACAATCCTTGGTGCCCTTTGGGGTCTTGAGCTCAAACTTTGATTTCGGCGCCATGTTGGGCAGTTGCTGTTCGTGGCTATCGCTTTGGTTACAAGACGACGACGAAGACTTGGACGTGGAAAACGCGCGGCTGCTACTGCTGGGCCTGATGCGGGTTCTAGGCAAAAGAGGGGATGTAATTGGGCTTGGAGAAAGAAAAGTCAGTCGGTAGGCCGGTCGGGCGGACCTCGAGAAAATCTTCACCTGGATCTGCATTCACCTGGCTTCCGAGATCTCGGGCGCTTGTTGCGCGGAGGGGGTACCGACTTCAAAAGGGACAAAAAAAGCGGCGCCGGGTAAACTTGGTTGGGTAGGTGACTCAATCGCAAGTTTTGGAGGGGCCGTATGCACTTGCGACGGGTTTGGGGGGAGGGACGGGGTTTGTGAGGTCGAAAAATGGCTGCAAGGCTGTGACTCGACGGGGATGCATCCCCTTGCGACATCCAATGACGTACCGCGTGGGAGGTGACAGATCCCTGCCCGGCGAGGCTGGCTGGACTGGTGCCGCTATGTCATCGAGAGCAACAAATCGACATTTCCTACGGTACGCGGCGCGTGATAGATACCAAATTTTAATAGAAAGACCCATGAATTATTTCGACGATCTGAATCTAGCCCACTCTGCGCTACTCCACGGTTTACGTTGCAATAATCCGAAGTTACACCGTTCGCTGTTAGAAAGATCAAGGTAATGCATATCTTAACAGTATAGGTATTTGGCAGGTATCTATCGCAACAGACGTGCTGATCCAACTTGATAGTCTTGTTGGTTTTTTCAGCACGGCCATAA